ACTCGGCGCTTGTTCGTGCACGATGATTGAGATCCAGTGCTCAGCAAAAAAACGTGCTCTGCTTTACAGATACATGCAACGTGAACGTTGACATTGCAGGCTACACTACGGCTGCGCACACGCAGGGGTTTGGATGAGCCAAGGGTGGTGTCGAATTCTACGTCAAGTGTACCGACAAACGTTTTGTCAATGTGCGGAACCTACACAGGTGTCCCACTGCTGACCCAACGTAGCAACCGCGAACAGTGTGCTGCTAGCCTTTACAGCATCAACGTCACGATTATGTACCTCGCACCCAAGCTCTCATGCACAGCCATGGAGCCATTGACACATTGACAAGGCCATGGGTGACTAGCGAAGGCATTACTCAACACACATTCGTTCATAATCATTGGCGACATTATTGTCAACATCATGAAGAGCGATTGGGCAGTGGAGTACAAGTCATCGCACCACTCGCTGCAACACGTATACACGGCGACCGCCCACAGCAAACTACCATTCACGGCACATGCATTGATCATGTCTTGCCAATTTTAAGATCAACCTACTGCACCAACATACCCTCAAGGTCCAGAGAAGACACTGCCAATTCGTAGTTGAGGCTCCAGAGAACACACGAGCCAAATATTAAAACGCAGCACGCCGCCTGAAATTTACAATTCATTCTTGAATTCAACCAGGAATTGCTTTCTCTTCTCTCAGCGAATGCTGCCATATGCTTGAAAATCATTTGCATCACAGGCCCAAGCATCAAGCCGCAGGCTGGTCTGCGCATGGCATGCTCGGGAGTTGATGGGGCCACTACAGCAGGCTGCGACCTGCCTGCGCATGCGTGCACGAACGCATTAAAAAGCCACACATTTAAAGAAAAAAAAAAAGGGATAGAATGTGCTCCAGGTCATGAGGCATCCATGGCATACCTTCTTACCCCGCGCCATCTCTCCCTGCTTAGCTTACTGCACTTTCGTCGCAACGAGAGAAGACAGAAAGCATTTGCAGTGTGCAATAAGTCTTTGTGTTTGCAATAAGTCTACTCGTGTTTGATCGATTCTAAAAATTCTGGTGCCAGCCAATTTGCGAGGCAATCAGCCCTTTTACTGAATTCATAGCGTGTATTTTAAGAAAAGTGTTGCCACACCCTTTTAAAATATTGCAAAAGAGTTAGGGCATGTTACAACATACCTATCCTCTATATATTCAGTGGGAACGCCCAACGGTCCCTCTTGAGGATTTCTATCTTGCTAGAAATCTGAAGTGACCACTTAAGGCTAATGTTCCTACGCATAGCCATGCTCATGTGTACTACTTATGATAGCAGACAACATTCTGATCGTGACTGCTTTTTTTTTTTTTTTGATAGGCTCCATAAGGAGGCAACACTCTGAAACAAAATATATAATAATGCATCGCCCTAAATTGTCCACACAGACCACACACAAACGAGACAGCATGGCCAAGCTGTTGGTGGCAAGTACGAATGCTCTGCTGGCCAGGTTGTGGTCAATCACTTGCTAAGCATGTGCCACATAGTTGCTTTGCTGTAGTCTAAGAGTGTTTCAGAAGCACTGGAAGACATCGCATGCACAGCACTGATTTGCCACAGCAATGGCGAGTACCATGTGGTAACGTCACCACAGGCAGCTTTGCTCGAGGGACTGATCAGAGGAGTGTGAGAAAATGCGGTCCGAGTGTTCCAAAACATGCAAGGCCAATAGAGTGAAGACTGAATCAACAAACGAAGGAAATCCTGCTTGGACCAAAGTATTGGCCTGCAGTACTTCTAAAGAATAAAGTAAAAATAAATAAGAGCAAGCAGTTGTGCAGAAGAAACATTGTTACAGCATTCTCGCAAGAGATGCCAACAATGCACTTGCCTAAAGGCTCTCGCTGACATTGGGGCAGCCGTATAAAGAAACCCAATATGGCCTGGCTCCAGCCTCGTCACCACTCTCACACCAGCAGGCACTGGTGAGCCAGTACAAGCTTTTAGACATCTATAATGCTTATGAAACGGCACTATTTTATGAAATGCTATAATTCAAGACCTGGGACTTCCTTATGCACTTATGTGCTACAGCGCTTGTGCCGTCCTGTTCGAGTTCTGCGTGTGTGTCTTATCCCGGTGTGTGCTGCCGCATATCGTAAATATGACCTTGGACTTAAAAGGCCATGAATAATACTTGTCTCCGCCGAAATCAAGAATTCTAATTGAATGTCTTGCATTTCCATTCCATATATTGTAGCGCATATCTTACCATAGCCGACAAAATCAAGGGCTCTGTGAACCCGCATAGTTTTGAATCGCAGATACAACCACTCATTGCTACGCGGGATTCCAAGACTCCGATAGTCGCTGCATTGACCTTTATCAGGACTTCATTTGACTGCACGAGTCAAGCCGCAGACTCTTGCTGGACCATTTGTTTCTTATGTTCTGTATAATGATTGCTATTCTCAGGTTCGTTACTGAACTTTAAGCAAGGTATCATTGCAATGATTTTGTGGTTAGTCATGCATTCTACATTACTTTTGCCATTGGCAAACCAGACATGAACTTCTCACCGACATCAGCGTCACCTTGTCACAGTTCTACTTCAGAGGCTTGCGGCATACACTTCGGCAAGAAGACCATCCAACGAGTATCCTGGTTTGGCTGTTGTAGGTGCGACAAAAAATTCTTAACCGTGAAAACAATCTCGTGGCATAAGATGCTGCATAATCGTTATCCGTGAGAACCGCCGGAGTAGACCGGCCGCCTGTCACCACTGACCAGCACGCGATGGCATTTGACAAAGTTTTTGTGTTCACGAAGATTTTTTTTTTTTCATCCGAGAGAACCGCCGGAGTAGGCCGGCTGCCTGTCACCATTGACCAGCACGTGATGGCATTTGACATAATTTTTGTGTTCGCAAAGAATTTTTTTATATTCCAACTTTCTCTTTTTTTGTATTTCTTTGCACATGGTTTGTACTTGTTTTGCTGAGTGTTGATTTATTAAGGGCTTTTTAACCCTTTACTGCACCTTGTTGCATTTACGCAACATACCAATAAACAGCCATAAAAACGAAAGCTACTTTCATCTGGTCCCTTCTATGCATGCTGTTGCATTTCTGCAACATCAGTTTGAAAAACGCGCCTTCTTGTGCTGCCCCCTGTGCTCATCCTGCTCAACTATTACCAAACAAACATAGTGGACGCTGCCCGCGCCAGCACGGAGCTACACAGGTAAGATTTGCAAGTTATAAATGTTTGTCTGGACGGATTCAACAGCGGAAAGAGCTGTTAAGCCCTTCGGCACATCCTCCTAATCGTGTAGATTGCAAAAAACTATGTTTACGGAATGGTGTCTTTCTTGCGACAAAAAGTTGCTATGTTGCATATATGCAACAACGTGCTCATCATGTTTGTTTTTTTCTCTCAAACTAGAAATGGATCCTAAACGTTTTTATGGCCGAGCAATCCCTTCTGATAGTGAAGACAGCGAACTTTCTGATAGTGACGACGATCCAGAGTGTAAGTGTTTTCGATTCATCGTGTGTGCAGTGTGTTGCATGGTGGAATTCGGGAATTTTTTTTTTTAATTGTGTGTGCATACGCCCGCGGCTGCCCCGTATCGTTACGACTGCACCCATATGTCTGTGCTCCTGCGTTTTAAATTTTTGTCTGTAACTCGAAGACACCGCAAGGGTTTTGTCGGATTTAAAAATACAGATGCACACTGTTTTCTATACGTGCATTTCACTTTATTTTCCCACTAATTTTAGGTCCTGCATATCGCTGTGTTTCCACTACAGATATCGCACCTGACTGCGGAAGCCTAAATGACAGCACAAACTAGTCGAGTGCATGCTCCGACGAGGACGAAACTACACCAAATGGGGGAACATCTGGCCACCACCCCACACAAGCTAAAAGACGCATGATTTGGAAGAAGGCGAATCTAATAAGAGATCCACAGACAGTTCAGTTCTCCGGGCAAAGTGAACTCCCTGAGTTCATTGCACAACTAGAGACACCATTCCAATACTTCAAGTTTCTCTTCCCTGGCTCGCTGATTTCACTAATTGCAGATCAGAGCAATTTGTTTGCACTCCAGAAAGAAGTGAGTCAGCCCCTTTGTACTACTGCAGAAGAGATCGAAGTGTTCATTGGAACGTGCATGTGGATGTCGATCATTCAAATGAGGAACACAAGGTGGTACTGGAGCGCAGTGACCAGGGTTAGCCAAGTTGCTGACAACTTTCCTGTGGGTCGCTTCGAAAAACTGAAGCATAACATCCACTTCGTAGACAATAGTACTCTCGGCCCAAAGGACGCTCCAGGAAGAGATCGGCTTGCGAAGGTGCGGCCTCTGATTGATACCATCAATGAACAGTTGTCACTTGTGCCTCTTGAAGAGCATCTATCTATCGATGAACAGATTATACCCTTCAGAGGTAGAAGCTCCCTCAAGCAATACTGTCCCAAGAAACCCAAGAAATGGGGTTACAAAGTTTTCGTGCTCCCCGGTGTAAGCGGCTTCTCCTACAAATAAATTGGAGGTATATACCGGACAGGAGAACTCGGCGCAAAGACGTTCAGGGGAGCCTGACTGTGGAGCGAGTGGAAATGTTGTTCGCTTGTGTAGAACGGTTCCGAGAGGCGTACACCACAAAGTGTACTTCGACAACTATTTGAACTGCCCAAGTTTGCAAGTGTATGTAGAGAAGGACTCAGTTCACTGCATTGCAACAGTGCGGATCAACCGGGTTCCTGGAGTGAGCCTGCCTGGTGAGCAGGAAATGAAAAAAAAAGGGAGAGGACACTTCGAAGAAAGGGTGGCAGTTGTGGATGGAATTGAACTATCGTGTACAAGGTGGCAAGATAACCGAGCAGTGACCCTCCTATCCTCCTTCATTGGAGCAGAGCCTGCTGCAAGGGCGTCAAGGTACAATCGTCAGAAAAAGGAGCGAAGTGAGATACCGTGCCCTGCAGTTATCACCATCTACAACAAGCACATGGGTGGTGTAGACCTTTTAGACTCCCTCAGCTCCATTTACCGTCCCTACGCGAGATCGAAGCGATATTATTTTCGTGTTTTTCTGCACATCCTTGACTTGACAGCTGTAAATGCTTGGTTGCTCTACAAGAGGAATGCCATGAGCAAACGAAATGTGTACGCAGAAAGGCATCTTCCTTTGGCTGGCTTCAAGATGGACCTGGCTGCATCACTCTGCAAGGCTGGGAAGACTGATGAAGAAGCGAGGAAGGCCTAGCAACGAGTCAATAAAACAAGCCTCTCAGGAGAAGAGAAAAAGGGGACCAAGAGCTCCAGCTCCAACTAAAGATGTCCGGCTAGATCAGGTATTATTTCTCATCTATGGAGCTTTGTCTTAGGACTCATAATTGTCATTTCTTTCCTCAGGCTGGTCACTGGGTCCTTTGGAGCCAGAAGCAGCAGCGCTGCAAGTTTCCAGGCTGCACGGGAGTCTGCATGGGCTACTGCGTAAAGCTTGAAGTGCACCTCTGTTCGACAAACAAGAGCAATTGCTTTTTTTTGTACCACACAACAAAATGAGTGCACCATTGTTGATTACTTACCGATTATTTCTAGTGGTATAGCAGTAATCAGTAAAGGTTGGTATAAAACAAACCTTTCCTAGGAATCAAGTGAGATAGCTATCTATTGTAGCATTTGTTCCCCCCCCTGACTGTCTTGTAAATAAACATTATAGTTGAAATGAAAAAGGTCTGTTTCTTCTCGATTTTTCTGTGTGCGCGCACTGTTGCAAAAATGCAACGTACCCTTTTTCTGCAACTGAGAACTGTAAAAGTCCAGTACGGTTAATTTTTTTGTTAGTAGAGTTATTGTTATGATTCTCCTCAACCCTATAAATAATTTCACGGCAAAAGAAAAAATCGTGCAGTAAAGGGTTAAAGAAAGGTTTTTGTGGTGTCCTTTTGTGGTTATGCTTTTTAATAATTGAATGTACTAGTCATAGATGACACAGGCCATATTTAGCAGCTGGCTGCACAGACTATAGATGCCAACATGTGAAGGCAAACAGCCCGGTCTGCTTTCTTCTAGACTATTGTAGCACCACCATGCTGATGTGCTGCACAGAAACATGCACCTGATTTTCTTTCCACCAGACTGAACTTAATTGCTACAGCCCCTCAATCAGGGTGCTATTTGCAGAGTAAAGTGTGCTTACAGATAAAGTCCGATTCAGTGTTTGCTGCTAAATCTACAGATGAAGCACCCCACTGATGTCGAAATGTTCATGGCGCTGAAAATGAACCCCCCACTGCATAGGTTGTGATGAGTCTGTCCGCGATCACAAATTGCTTTATAGACGCCAGCTTTGTCATTCGACAGGCATCATGTGCTAATCCAGAGGAGCCGAAAGGAGGTTCATCAGGAGGCGCACTTGAGAACTGTACTGTTGACAGTGCAGTGCCGTCATCACTGACTAGTACATGGAGCGAACTTTGTGCCTCGACAAATCAAGTTGTGGATGGCTACAGCATTCACAAGTTCACTTGCGTGGATGAAGACATTATTGGGCACGAAGAAATGATCAATGAAACTATTATCAGGGCAGATGCAAGGTAGGTGGGCAATCCCTTCATTGAAGACTGGGACAGCCGGAGAAAAGAACAACCCTGCAGGATGTGTTGACTGCCCTGGACACATTTCACTAGTTTTTCAGCGAGCACGATGACGACGTGGCAGTGGTTCATTGTTTGCTATGGGAGTCAACAGCTATGAAATTGCTGCAGGGAAAGATTCAGCAAAGTAAGCTTACTAAATTTTGGCAATGAAATGTGTGTTCAGTCAATTTCATGTCTTTTCTACTGCATTCTCGCCAAACTTTTTGCTTTCCCTGTTGACTTTATTATTGCGGGGTTAAATCGCAGTTGATTCCGTTATTGGACATGTCGGACACTATGTCGTTCAAATGAAAATTAATGATCCCAGAGTAGCTGCTGTAAGCGATCATCTCAGAACACAGCCCACATATGAGGAGGCTTTCTGCAAAAGATCTATCTTTTAATTTAAATGTTTAGTGGCCATGACTGGATAAACATTGTAATTGCCATCACCAACAATGATTTGCCTCAGTCTCATCGCCAGTCTTGAACATGAAATTTGTGCTCAATACCTGTAATTTACACAGAAGCAGACAGTGATACCATGACTTCCAAGAGGCACAAACTAGGCAATTGGATGATGAAGAAGTTCCTAACATTTGTCCTCAATGGCAGAAAACATAGCTGCATGCGTATAGATGGGTAGCTCAGAGTAGACACAGTAATAATGATGCAGTGCCCAAAACCTGGTAATGTCCGGATCTTTTCCCATTTTGCATCCACAGTTTAAAAATGTTACCATGCTGGAAATTCAAATTGATGATTACGCTGCCATGTTCAATGAGTGAAGTAAATAGCCAACACAGTTTACCAACAGTCCCCCAATGCTCTGATGTTGCTTCAGGTACCGTATGTTTCTTTTTTATTGGGCACTCAGCTTGCTTAACATGCTTCGCAAACATTTCAGCTGCTCCCTTCAGTTTTCTGACAACATATCAGCCCGACACGATTCAAAGATGACACTGCACGCAGAAGTAACATATAAGTGCATAAAACTGCTTTCACTTTCCCTAGCATAATCCAGCTGGGTAACATACAGCACTTACTTGACTTACATAGGGATCATTTCACCCCAGGTCTGTTTCGTTAAAGACATCTCCTCCCAAAACATATCTTCATCAAAAGATGGGGCCCACCAGTGACACTGTTCAATTCTGACTTTCTATGCCATGCAAGCACGTCATCTTTCGTTTACATAATTGCTAACACAATTTACACTGTACTTATCCGTTTACATAATTGCTAACACAATTTACACTGTACTTATCCATTTATAATGTCAGGGGCACCCTATGATCTTATTCACTTCATTGCTCTGTCCTGTGTAAGGTATGATTGTTCTCATCCACTGAAGAAGGTGGCCCCTCGATACGATCTGGACGTCATTTTTAATGCGAAGCATAAAATGGGTTTCATTCGTCTAGCTATTCACAAGTGCCTTTACAACAAAAGATTACCGAAGCAGTCCACATACAACATTAACGATGGAATGGCGTTTGTTTCCCAACGCTGTTTACAGCACTCCTTTCACCTGCGGCCAATGCTACATAGGTGAAGCTGGCCGCTGCCTGAATATCAGGCTAAGGGAGCACCATAGCTCCCTAAAAGGCAGCCCCATATTCACACCTCGCGTGGCACTGTCAAGAATGTGGGTGCACTCCAGAGTTCAGCAAAACCTCCGTTCTTTTCCGGCACAAAAACAGGACAGACAACAAGAAAAATAATGGAGGCCTCCTAAATTCACAAGAATGGTACCACATGGGTCAGCCAGTGATCTATTATTCTACTAACCAGCGAAGTGGCTTACTTTGATAAGTTTTCGACGCTGAGAGCAGGCCACTGATAAACACTTTTTTGCTTGCCATGACGTGTGGTCTTTCACCTCAGTTGTTTGATTTTTCTGTACGATGCTTTCATGCGTAAGAGACACGCGTTTGTTTTTTTTTATCTCTGAGGTGATAGCTGTTTGCCGGGTTTCTTTAGAATGTAGTTTCACACATGCATTTCAGTGTTTAGCGTATGATAAAAGCTGACCTTTTCTGCGAATAAACTTTTGTTTGAAGTGAGCGCCCGTCTGTCTACCTCGGTCTTTCGTTTCTTGTCTATTTACACGCTCAAAATACCACCATGTTAAAGAGCAAACTCGCCCCCCTTTCAGTGCTCTTAAACATGATTGTCACGTTTTTTTGACAATGACAGAGACAACAACGTCTACCTGATGCTTTCATCCATGCAGGATCAGACAGACATGCGCTTGTAAATGAGAACTTTGAAGGCCTTGGGTTACGAGTTCGTGACATGAGATCAATGGCAGCATACCCAGAGTTTCTGGGTATCGACACTATGTACAAGTTGCTTGACGTCAGAATGCCGGTGCATGTAATACACACAGAAGATTCCAATGAATCGACTGAAGTCTTGTGCGTTGGAATTTGGCTCAAGGAGATTAAAGCAGCCTCGGTGGCTGATAGAAAAATTTTAAGAAGTGAATCCATCTTAGACAACAACAAGGTGTATAATGGCGGACAAAAACTTGGAGAGGAACATCTAGAAGGAGAGCTTTCCCAAGGCTAATGTTTCATTTGCAGGGAGATTACTTGTGCGGTGTGGCAGAAAGCACGTTGCTAGGGGAAGGCACGCTGCTAGCACGCTGTTGTGTGCGCACACGCGCGCACACACACGCGCGTGTGTGCGCGCGTGTTTTCTATTTCTATCTATTTCATCTATCTATCTATCTATATATATATATATATATATATATATATATATATATATATCATCATTGCCATCTTACAAGCATTGGACACCCCCCTCCCAAAGAGACAAATGTCTGGACCTTTATATCAGAGCTGTACAACGCGATGTCATGCAGGCATATAAAGAACGTACACCATTGCACCGCAACCTTACTGACAGAGAGCAACAAGCAATGGAATCCCTCGCTGGTCGTAATGACATAATTATAAAACCTGCGGATAAAGGAGGCACCATTGTTGTAATGGACAGAAGCAAATATATCAGCGAAGGCCATAGGCAGCTCAGTGATGCATCATATTACAAGCGGCAAGATCATGACCCAACAAACGAGTTCAAAGATATTGTTCGTGATACTTTGACTGCGCTCTTTAATGATAAAGAAATGAGCTATGGCACTCTGAAATCCCTAATACCGTTGAGCCCAGTAGCTGGCAGGTTTTACCTTCTTCCCAAAATTCATAAGAGAGATAATCCCGGTAGACCGATAATTTCTGGAATTGGAACAGTGACTGAGAACCTTTCCCGTTATGTAGATAGCCTCATCAACACCATTCCGTCCAGCTTTTCTTCTTACATTAAAGATACCAATCACTTTCTATCAGATATTGTTGACCTACAGGTTCCTCAAAATTCGTTTCTCGTTACGTTAGATGTCACGTCACTATATACTAATATCCCTCACTCAGATGGCATCGAGGCAGTTATCTGCGCGTACAACGATTGCGACGCCAACAAACCAGTTTCCGCATCTACGTTAACTACGTTGCTTAAGCTCATTCTTGAACTTAACAATTTCGAATTTGATGGGACACATTATGTTCAAGTTAGCGGTACATCTATGGGCACAAGAATCGGACCAAACTACGCAAACATATTTATGGGGCTCCTTGAAAACAAATTTCTTGCAAATTGTGAATATAAGCCATTTTACTATAAGCGGTTCATCGACGACATTTTCCTAATCTGGCACCATAGTGAATCGCAACTTCTTTCTTTCATAGCAGATCTTAACAACGCTCATCCGGCGATTTCTTTTTCGCACTCATATTCACCTGTGAACATAAGCTTCCTTGATGTCATGGTCACTCTACGTAACGGGAAGCTGATAACTAATCTTTACAGGAAACCCACGGATAGGCAGCAATATCTTCACTTTAGTAGTAGTCA